CCCATGGGGGGCGCGGTGGCCAGCTGGGCCAGTCGGCCTAGTTGAGGGGGGGCCTTTTCCTTTTCTTTTTTTTAAGCTTTTGCTTTTGCTTTTAACAACTTTCTATTATAGCTATTTTAGGCCATTTAGACATTTTGTAAAAATATCGGTTCACCACCAATATTACTAGAAGAATTCTTTTCACATGATGAATATTTTAAATTTCACACAGAATTTGAATTTGAATTCAACTGGAATTTGAAAGAACATGAGACAATAATAATCAGGCACATGTTTAGCAAAAAGATTAACTTAACCCAAGGGGTTACTGTAGCATCATTACACTGGGGCGTTACAAGCCTGCACAACACGCAGCCACCAGCCACACCAATCCAGGCAGGCGGGCACGCAGCAGATGGCCCAAGGACCTGGAACGGCCAGATTCGGATCGCACGCCATCTCCCAACTCCGGCGCCAATCGAGGGCGCTCAACGCCGCTGCTACACCCGACCGCTGCCGAAGCAGCATCTCCTGGCCGGGCTCGCAGCGCCGCGACCACCTCGAGTACCCTCGCCGGCGCCGCCTTGACCGAGCCGCGCACCCGCCTCCAGGACCCTTCCCGACGCCGCTCGAAGCCCGAACCCGTGCGCCAAGGCCTCCGCTGCTACTTCCTTGCCAAGCTCCGCCCCTCCATTGCGCCCCCCGCCATGCGCCGCCACACCAGAAGAAACCTCCCGCGCCGCCTGCTTGGCGTCCCACCCCCGCGCGAGGGGAGCCCGCCCGTCGCCTTCGGCGGCCGGGCGTCGCCGCCACAGCCGCCGTCGGCGGCGGCAGCGGCTGGGGGAGCACGAGGAGGCTTGCGGGGCTAGGGATTTGGCCTCCGGAGGCGCCCGCGCGAGCGGCCCGGGAGGAAGGGGAAAGTGTCCTGTCTATGTTTTGCTTTCCTCTCTCAAGTCAGCCAGCTTGGAAGAAATCAAATACTGGCGGGGCGTCGGCCACATCAGCAGCGGTGAGGAAGAGACAGAGAGATAAACCCAGCAGGGAGGAGCAGAAGCAGGGTCTTCCCCCCGCGAACGAACCACCTTTCCGATCCCCTCCTCTTCTCCCCTCTCCCAGGAGAAAGCGTCGCTTAGGGGACACAGCACTGCAGGATGTGTATTCCCTACACAAAGTTCACAGCCTGTGTACCTAACACAGAGCTTTGCCTGCTATTCCCTACACAAAGTTCACTTCGTATAGCAACATGTATTCCTCGGTGGTAAACTGCCTAGCAAATCTTTCCTAAAGGAAACTACCTAGTGAATCCCCTGTCTGATGCAAACAATAAAGTTTTTTTTGCTGACAATCTTATCTTGTGCACACCCGCTATTTTTGTTTCAACTGGGTCGGAGGTTTTGACTCCTGCTATTATGGCACACACATATAATATCACTTGGATCCCATGTCACTTCGAACATCTGTACAAAGACGTATTTGAGGATTTTTTCTGATAGAAAAATAGCCTGCCTGAACTCACCACTCCATTGAAAAACGTATTGATTCGGCCCATCTGAACCCAGGCTGCTTTGGAAGGAAAGGAACAAACACATGTTCAGTAGCGAAAGGAGAATGGCACAAGACGTTATCTTTGCCATCCTGAAGAAGGGAGGCTGTGAGGAGCCATTAAGTACTATAGATAACGTCCTGTGCCATAATTTGTAGTAGTTCACAGTGAATAGTTCTGTAGGTTGTTCCTTTCTTTGCCATCCTAAAGAAGGGAGTCAAAGATAATATCCTGGGCCATAATTTTGTACTCCCTCCGTTCCAAATTACTTGTCTTCGATTTGTCTAGATACGGATGTATCTAGCACTAAAATGAGTCTAGATACATCCGTATCTAGACAAATCTAAGACAAGTAATTCAGAACGGAGGGAGTAGTTCACAGTGAATATTCCTGTAGGTTGTTCCTTTCTTTGCCATCCTGTAGGTTGTTCAATCGCGAAAGGAGAATGGCCCTATGTTTGCCATCCTCAAGAAAGAAGAATACGTAGCGAATCAATGTTAGTTCAAGCCTTTCACTAGGCAATAATACTTTCATTCTCCGTAGCAGTCATACTAATTAAAGATAAAAGAAAGGATACATATACATCGCCCTGTTGCATTTTAAAACATTGCACCAGTGTCAGGTTATCCAAGCCACATGGCATTAGTGTAGCAATTGTCCAAATTGAGCCTTTTCAAACTTAAAGGCATAGTTGTACCTGCTTTAAGCCAGGTACATTATGAAAATGTATATATATTTCAAACTGGAAACCTATAGTTTTGTTTTTGTTCCATGTTTAGTTGTAGCTAAGGAAATATATGCGCGCTTTGCTGCGCCGTAGGGGGATATTCTGTTCCATGTTCGGTCATTGTTTTCTTGCTACCTTGTGTTCCGTTCTGTTTTAATATTGGCAAAACTGTGGATGGTGTTGGCCTGAAGCTCACTCTCGATGGCCGTCTATAGACCCTCGCACCACCATGAACACATTACATAGCTCCATCGGTCTGAGATTGTCAAGAGTATCGCCTTGCTGACAAACCTGACCTGGTCTGCCCTGTTTCACTCACCAGGAACATTCAAGTTTCCTGTGGTGGTTATTGGCTAATACAGTAACAAGCTGCTTGCTCGTGACAGTCTTAGTAAATGTAGAATATAATTCATAAAACTTCAAGTATTTTCTGTGCTAGGCCTGAAACGATACTCCACCTTTTCCTTCGATGCACCCGCTAGCTAGCATGCACACACGCACACATGGTCAAGCCACTAACGAACGAACGGCTTGATCCACTAATCACTCTGTGTCTCTGTTAGCTAGCTACGCACGCACACAGTAGCTTTAGCACTTATGCATATTTATCTATCCTCACAGGCTCACAGCTAGCCAGCTACGTTTACTTATTGCTAGCTAAACCAAGCCATCGACTTACATGCATGCATGATAATAATTCAAAGACATGAACAAATTCTCACGTACGTGTGCATTGCATGCATGACTCATCTAATGCATGGCATGACTAAATATATAGTGGAGTAATGCAACAAGATTAACCTGACAAGCGTCGTGCTTAGGACCCAACCATATACAGTAGTAGAGGAAATGCATGCACCTGCACATAGGTGCCTGCCGGGCTCTTTACAGGGTGCTCAGCTCTGTCTTGCGGCCACGCTTCGCCGCATTCCTTGCCAACTTTCAGTACAACTTGTACAACAGTGAATATATTATCCCTTTAAACTTCACATTTAGGCCGAGCTGATAGATGCTTCAAACTTGCGCCCTACAACAGTGAGTATATTATCCCTTTGAACGTAGTTTACCATCAGACATTTCTATATTCCCGCAAAAAAAATAAACAATATATTTCTAGTAACACTGTTGACGTGGTTTTTGCAAAAGGACTGCAGATTAAAGATGGTAGCCACAACACTGAAGTGGCTTTTGGACTGAGCTGCATGTTCATTTTCTTCCAAACTTTGCCATCTCTTCGTGGTTTTCTTAATCATTACGTGCTGCTGAATTAACACCTCTGTTAAAACGCAAATCAGACAAGGACATACTTGACTGGAATGGACATTTGATATGAGCTGCAAAAGAACCATTGGTTTGACAGGGCCCAGGATTTCATCAAGGCACGCACAATCCAAGGTGCTCAACTCCAACAGATCCCTTAAAACTGCATCTCCTACATTCCTCCCTTTCAATTTATCTTCTCTGCATACATATTCAACTCCAATTTACATAACAAGAATTCAAACTTATATGTTACAATGCCATAACTTCGAATTTTTCAATATACAACATCCAAATGCACAACATAAATCGAAATACTTCATCCTGATAGGAGGGCATCTTTGCATTGCGATGATTTTCCTCCATAATGTCCTTCCAATAGTTGGCGCCGGTTTGATTATTTCCCATGACCGCATCAAGTGTCACATTCTCCCATGCCATCACCGATGCCTCATCCTCACACATCGTGTAATTGGCCGGTCTTCGCCCCTTATCAAACGGAGTGCCAAGCAACTCCACGACATCTTCTACTTAAGAATTTGGCATCGAGCAGTTGATCTCGTCTATGCACACACAATCACTCATCATGCTCATGAAATAATTGGCACTAGCAATGAACGGAACAATCAATTAGTGACAATTCAACAGCATTTAGCGTTAAAATAAGAAAAAAGGAGATAAACTCACATTGCGGGCATTTGGTCGAATACCTCAGAGGCGTCGCCCATGCCGTGCTTGCTGACATCAATAACGGGCGGAGGAGGGGCTTCGAGGGGTGGGTGGGAAGCATGGGTGTTAGAGGGCCCTCCCTCCGACTTCCTCACTGCACTCTCTTCCTTGGCTTGGACAACTCCGGGTGGCACCCAATAATATCAAGTGTTTCCAATGAGGATGGCAGACCACACACTGGTAAAGATTGGAGCTCTGGGCAGTATGATATTCTCAGCACTCTGAGAGACGAAAGGCTCCTAAATTTCAACGGAAATGATGTTGTAGTGACTTTAGGACATCTCTCGATCACCAGAACTTTTAGTGAATAAAAGAACTGCAGTGAGGATAGAGAGTGCAAAAACTGGCAGTTGCGTACGGACAACTCAGTGAGCATGGTGCTGAAACTAAGTGTTTCTGATGCTGGAAGAGATGTTACGTTAGGCAGGTCTATCATCTCCAACAAGGACAAATGAGGCAGAGCCTGGAGAAAACTACTAAAATTCTGGTCAGTAAAGTTGCAGCGACTAAGTTGCAACCTTTGTAGAGAAACAAGCAACCCTATTTCTTCAGTAGCAATGACTTGTTCAGCACCACTTATGTATAAAGCTACAAGAGCCTCTACATGCTGCTTATGGAACAACCCGTTGAAGTGGACAGAAGTTGTGCAAACATCCAGCTGGAGCTTCTCTGAACTTGAAGAAAAAGGGGCAAGCCTCATGTATGGCATGAAGCCTGTACGCTCAATGGTAACTTCACGAGTAGTTGCGGAGAAGGGAGGAATTTCGACCAATTGTGGACAATCCACTATAATTAATCTTTCAAGGCATGGAAATGAATTCTTGTCCTCTATTCTAGCCCACTCACGCAACTTTGGGAAATCATCAAATTCAAGGACACTTAGAGATGGAAATGCCACATCACCGTTGCCATAAAACTCATGTCCAATTCGGTCAACTGCACACAGCTCCTTCATGTGTAAATATCTGAGTGATCCCAAATTTCCCAATGGAGGAAGGCTGCCCAAACTCCTGCAATTGATAAGGTGCAAAGAACACACTTGCTGCAATGACTGTAGCCAACTGGGAGCTTTGGTGCCACAATACCTTCTTATATGAAGTACCTTTATATCTTGGTGCAGCTTTAAGCCTTCAAGTACCTCTTCGTCAGCAGGAGGGGGGTTATTTCTACTAGCGGAGCTCCATTCTAAATTCAGAGAATTAAGATGCGTTTTCTTATTCAACTCAGCTTTGCAGGCTTCTTCATAGCTTGAAACATTGTCTAGACCTTTTACTTTTAGTAACCCACGGAGACCATTGATGTTTCTCAACTCTTCTGATCTATGCCCTTCCTTCTTTTCAATGTGGAACTCAAGTGATCCCTGAAGCTTAGCTAGCCGACCAATGCCCGCCAATCCTGCAGTACACTTTGTTTCAACAAGAAGGTGCCGCAAATTGACCAGCATAGTAACACTTTCAGGAAGCTTATCAAACGAACATTTCCCAGTGAAGCACAATACTTGCAGATTCAGGAGCTTGCCAATCGACTCAGGAAGCCTCTGGATGGAGCCATGGATAGATAGGTAACGGAGGTGCAATAAGTCATCAATGCATTGGGGCAACTCTTTGGAGTTAAAGCAACTGACATCAAGAACACGCAACTGTTTGGAATTCTCCAGGATACTTTTTAAATTCACAGAAGAATCCTCTTGGGAGCAGCTGGAGTTGGACGGAAGTGACGGTCGGATTAACAAGGTGCGCAGCTCTTTTAGAGTGCAGAAGCTTGTGAGACGAGGTAGACTGTTCATGGTGACAGACAGATGGCGCACTGTTGACGGGATGTCACAGTTCATGCCATCATCAACATGGAAGCAGTCCTCCGCAGCAACAGACCTTGCAAGATCATGCAGTAAGCCGTGTACCAAGTAGTACGTCTTGGTTCCAAGCTTGATTTCCTGGAAGAATGAGCGTGAAAGGAGCTGATCAAAATATTCTCTAGCTATGTCTTCCATCCTTTTGTCAGCCATGCCTTGTGGTTGAACAAAACCCTCGGCAATCCAAAGGCGGGACAAGTGTGCTGGATCAAACTTATGGTCCTTTGCAAACAAACTGCAATATGCGAAGCACCGCTTGAGGTGTACTGGTAGGTACTTATAGCTCAAGCGTAGGGCAGAGGAAACATTATTATCTTTTAATCCTGTTTCCATGATATTCATCCAGTGAATTTTGCTCCTTGTATCACCCAGCAAACCTCCCACCAGCTTGGCAGCCAAAGGTGAGCCATTGATTTTTTCAGCAATCTGTTTCCCGATCGGGTGAAGATTTGGATAGACATTCCCAAGATCACTTGGAAGAGCATGTTCCTTGAGTAGGGCCCAGCAATCATCGCTATTGAGCGGATTCACGGTGTACATCTGCGATGCTCCGAGGATGTGAGGCACGGTGTTCATGCGAGAAGTCGCCATAATTCTGCTCCCAATATCTGCTGACTGTAGAGGAGCGAGCATGTCCAGCCAGGTTTCATCCTTGCTGTTCCATACATCATCAAGAACAATCAGATACCTCTTTGATGTAAGAGATTGACGGAGCTCAGACTGAAGCATTTGAAAATCCACCATCTTGTCAGCAGAGCCATCCCAAGCTGGCTTGACCGACCTTAGGATCTGTGCTGCGAGGTCCATCTTGTTGGAGCTACTTGAAACTGACACCCAACATTTGACATCAAAATGCTCCCCAACCGCTGCATCGTTGAACACCGTCCGAGCAAGAGTTGTCTTCCCGATTCCTCCAGCACCAACAACGGAGATAACAGCAGACTTGGCACATGGCTGGATGAGCAATTGCACGATATCATCCTTCTCCTTGTCGCGCCCAACAAATACCCTAGTCTGAAGAATTTCCCTGCCTGAATCAGGCATCCGCGGTGGCAGCGAAGTGGACGATGAGCCGCCGGCGGCCTTGTCAAGCAGATGAACAATCTTTTGAGTTTCTTGATTCACAGCTTTGATGTCCTTGATGATCTTTTTGGGTGGTTTGGACGCAACTATTCCAAAAGGGAGGCAGTTGGAAGCACACCACCTGAGAGCGGGGAGGGGCTTGGACTGACGACGGCTACGAACCCGAGGCGGGTTGTGGCAGTCGATGGTGTCTTGAAGGTCTTGGGCGAAGTAAAAGGCGTCCCTGGCCTGCAGAGCCAGCGCCTTATATCCGGCGGCGGCGGAGATGCCCCAGATCTGGAGCAAATAGGCCACGAGAAGCTCCAGGGTGGGGGCGGCGGCCTTCCCCCCGCACTTGCTGGCCCCAGGCGCACATCTCCGGCGGCTCCCGCCGCAGGACTGGATGTCGGAGGCCAGCCCCTCCATGGCCTGAGAGGCCGAGCGCAGCAGCCGCGGCGCCTCCGCCAGTGCCGCGGGATCCAGGCCGCCGGAGCACGCCGCTGCCTCCATGGGCTTCATTCTCGCAGCTTGCTTCCTTTCAGCGTGTGTAGGCGTGCGATTTGGTCTTTGGTGGGAGATGTGGAGCGTAGGGAGACACGAACCCACCACTACCTACCGACGGCGAATATATAGGCACAATAATCCCCACTGGCCAAGCAATTCCAAGTCAATGTGGAACAGCTTTCCGCGTAATTTATTTATGCCGTCCCATACTTTTCCTCCTCATATAAAACACGCGGTCCCATTTTCTTTTTTTGAACGTAGCCAACCAATTTTTATTTGTGAGTGGAACCTGACCAGCAACTACTACCATTTTTTACATTGGAACCTAACCACCTCGCCATTGCTTCCAAAATCCAATCACGCGTCCGATGCTTGGCAGCAAAATGACAAAATGACCCTTGGGCCGCTCCGAGCACTTGGCCATTTGACCAGTTTTTCTACTTGTTTTTGTTTTACCTTTTGTTTTTCTATGTCCTTTTACAGCTTTTCTGGTTTCCTTTGTTTTTTTCATTTTATTTTTCGCACATGTCAACATTTTCAATACACGTTATACATTTTTGCTATACACGTGTAATATCTTTTTTGATACATGTTGAACCTTTCATAAATACATGATGTATATCTTTTGAAATACATGTTTTTGAAAATGTTTATGAATACTTGTTAATTTCTTTAAATGCATGTTGAATTTTTTCCAATTGACAATAACCTTTTTTTTACATTGTATAGACAATTTTTTTTCTAAAATGTCATGATCATATTTTTGCAACACGTGAACATTTTCTATAGGTCATTACAATTTTTTGAATGCCATCAGAATTTATTTTAATTACATGATTTAATATATTGTACATTTTTTCAAGACCCATGGACATATTTTTAAATGTCACACATGTTTTTTTAATGCCATCAATATTTTTCCTGAATTACACAAACATTTTTTTACACAGTATCAAGATTTTTGGAAAATGTCGTCAACATTTTTAAATGTCACATTCATTTTTTGAATGCTAACAACATTTTCTAAAAGTTGTGCAAACATTTTTTGAACATGCCATTAACATTTTTAACTTGCGATAAGCATTTTTAAAATTAAATATACTGTTTTTTCCATTTCATAAGTATAAATAAAGTAATAAAACAAAAAAGGAAGTAGAAAAAGATAAAAACATGTAGAACAGTAAGTGGGCCGGCCCATTTACCAAGAGCCATAGGCGAGACTGATGGACACATTTGATATAGATATTTGTGCTCATTAATTCACCCATTATTGATTAATGTCCATGCATTATTACTGAGATTTATTGAATATTTGAATGATAATCATATAAAGAGCATGTTGGCTAGTCATTTGTTTCTTTCCAGAAAAGTGTGCAAAGGCACTATAAACTTCAAGATTCTCATTAAGAGGCTAAAGAAAATGAGACAAGGTCTGGAAAAAAAGGAGGGTTCGAAATGATGAAAGACTTAGGCTTTTTGTGTGTGCGTGTGTGGGGGGGGGGGGACTAAAGAAGAGAAGGATCACCTTGTGCTTAAAGAAGAAAAGAGAAGGGGCAAAATGGAATATGGAAAATCAGACTGGGAGGGGTAAAATCCATAGTGCAGCCATCGGTCCCATCTAGGCTTGGCACATCTCTCTTATGTCCCCACACCTCTTTCTCCACCTCTAGCCATCGGCCGTGGCGGTGCCACCATGCCATTAGTAGCACCACAATTCCTCACCAGCTCGCGCCTCCAGCCACCGATCTGCCACCACAAGTCGCTCCTCCATCCATCCAACATCCTCTCTCCTCCTGCACCCCTACCGCCGCTCTTTTTCCCACTTAGATAAAAACATACTGCATCATAAATTTCATGAAGTTATATTTTTTCTCAGCAAAGATAGAAGCCATTATTTTGTTTTTCTTCTCAAAGAGAAAGGAAATAGACGCAACTTGAAAGCGTCAGGTTCACAATCTTTAATACATGCCATATCACAAAGCTTTGTGAAAGAATGCAAATGCATATTTGTGGTAAAAACATGTGTCCCTTTTCTTCCATTTATATGTGCTCATCAGTTCATGTCTTGTAGCTTCCTTTGTCATTGATATTTTTTTAACGTAAAACGACAATACCAAAGTATAGTGAGGATAATCTTCCAATATTTTTCATATCCAATGCACTCAAGATAGTCCAACCAAGTTGCACTTCACCCCCGCCGTGTTGTTCTTGGCCATGATTAAAGGTGTTGCAGTTGTCCCCGCTCTCCATTAAGTGTTGACTTTGGCTACTCCAGTCATCGACCTTGCTTGCATGGATTCTTTTTAAATTGTCACCAGTGTGGCCCCCGCTCTCCTTGGTCGTGTTGGTGCTCTAAGTGCTCAAGGAAGACACAAGGAAAGCAAATGGCTGGGGTTCCAAGTGCAAGGGTTTGTAGCAACCGATAAGTCTTCCATAAGTGAGAAACCAAGGTATCAATTTGTGAAGGTATGTGTGTCCTACACCAATGATAAGTTATGCGACACAGATAACACTTCACTTTTGTATGCAATAGTGATAACAAGGGTATCAACCCTACTAGTTTTGCTAGATGTAAAAGATATTAATGTATAATGTGACCTGAATTATTTTTTGTATATTCAAAATACTAATAACCAAACGTAAAAGTGTGTGAATAAAATGTTGAAAGGTGTTTCTTATATAGGAAACTACACCATGGCTTATAGTTTCACGAATAGTAACTCTCCATAAGATAAAAGTGGGATAAATGTAACAAAGACATGTGAAAGTGAAATATGTCGTGTTCATGCTAGAATATGTATGATGTGATTGGATTACATAGGCAATACATTCATGAATCCATAGACACGATACCTTCACTACATCCATGGTTCATACTCCACTCTTTGATCGAGATGCCTCCACGTCATCCAAGGTGGCATACTTTTTATAAACATGGTTTCAGTAGAGGTCTCATGCCATCACTTATCCTCAGTGGCAATAATGCAATGTGAGTCTTTTCCTCTTACTACCATCGGTGTAGATTATTGATAATCCCAAGTGCTAGAAATTGTTGCAACACTTTTCACTATGGAGGTGGAAGTATGGAGTGTCGATATTTCAAGGGAGCTAAACGTAGGAATCCTACTTCCTCGATACTCTATCTGCCACTGATACAACCATGTGTACACCATGCAAGGGCTTTCCGACTCTCTAACAAAATATAATTTGCAAGTATAAAAGAGGTTATGTGCAAGCATGTAAAAGTGCATGTAAATAAAAGTAAGGTACTAAAACTTAAAGTTGCAATAAAGTAAAAGAGAGCAAGTGTGGAACCAGTGGTGATAGGTGTTGTAGAATTTTCCCTAGGCCATTGGCTACAATACTATTAGATGACCCGTTGCACCCTTGGCGCAAAGACCAACTACAACCAGGAAGTTAGGCAAGCTATGGGCAACACGTATAATAAATGATTGTTTTATGAATTATCCGCAAAGGGAGTTACCATGAATAAGAATACATATGAGAACACCAAGAGGCAATGGAGAAGCTAACAAATAGGGGTAACTACCCCTAGATCATGGCAAGTGCTTGTTAATTTGTACTCGCGAGGGGGTGTGAACGTTGGTTTCGCTGGCGAGGGGAGAGCTGTGTGGAGCGACTAAGACAATAAACGCCAGCATTGCTCTGTCGAAGCATGTCCCTTTGCGTCAAGTCCGCTACACATATGGGCCAATGCAACCGAGAAATTGGGTAGGTCCAAGCCTTCTCAGGTTTCGGTCTTTATCACACAAGGACCCAGACCCGATTGCCATTACCTATTTTTCTCTACTACTATAGTACATGAATATTTGAATCTACCATGGCCTCACCTATTTTACCCACCACTAGCATAATCAATTCACTTGTAGCCGTAGGATCTATTAGATCGAACGGCTCATGTTACAAGGATTCGCTACTCACATTGTTCCCGACAATCCAAAAACAGTACTAGCTCCTTCTAGAAAACTCCACAAACCACAGAAAATCCAGCCTCCGGCAAATCGATGCTTGCCAACCTCCTTTTGCCTAGATGGGTGGATGTGTGGAGCAAATAGATTGGTGGTCCCCATCACGGTGGAGCCTTGGAGGCGTGGCGCGTGGCACCTGCCAACGTCTGCTGCGCGGCCGGATGCGAGCGTCGCCTTGCCTGCTGAGGGCATCTCCAACCGCGTCCCCAACAGGCCCTTCCCAGGCGATTTTGCTGCACCGGCGTCAAAAAAGGCCCCAGTCGCGTACTCAGAAGCCCGTTTTTCGCCGGCTCGGGCCAAAACTGGTGCTGGCGGATTCAAGCCGAACCCGGCGCCCTGGAGGACGCTTGGGGAGCCGGCACAAGCGAAAAAGGCGCGTGGGCCCGCCCTGGAGGCGACCCGAGGGCCTTTTCCCGCTGTTTCTTGACGCTTTTCCCTCGCATCTCTCCCGCTCGCTCGCCTTCCTCCCGCCATTCTCTCCCTTTCTCCCGCCAAACCCCCTCCCACTCGCCTTCCAGTCGCCGCCATGCCGCCGAAGAAGTACACCATGCCGCGCGCGGCGGTAACCGCGACTGGCGCCATAGCCCAGCCAAAGCAGAGGAAGCCGAGGGCGCCACCATCGAAGCCACCGGGCCTGTCGAACGCCGAGTGGAGGGTGGAAGTTCAGCGGCGCGAAGCAGTCACCGCCGACAGACGGAACAGGGCCATAGCCAAGAAGGCCCGCGACAACGCGGCGCGCGCGGCGGCGTCTTCCTCATCGGTCGACCAGGCGGGGATGAATCCACCCGTCGTCAGCCACACCCAGTACGCGCCCTGGGGACAGCAAGGCGTCGAATCTCCATGGGGTTCATCGTCGCCAGGCTACGCCGACGGCGACGCGCACGGTGGGTTCAACCCAAACGTGACCTTCCCTCATGGTCACCCCGCTACGCGCACGCCCTCGCCCGCCTTCGTCGGCGTGCAGTACCCTCCATACAACTAGTCGCCGCCCGCCGCCTACGCGTCCACGCCGACGCCCCATCTCTA